AGGTACTTTTTGGGACATTTCTTGCTAAATATGTTGTGATTCTTTTTCATCTTTGAAGTGTCTGGTGAAATTAAGTAATTGGCAAAATAATCTCCGGTCACTGGCCACACGTCATTGGACGAATGGTTCCTGTATGGTTCGATCGCTATTTCTTTTCACTGCAAATTGGTGCTGCAATTCAAAATCGCTAAGCAAGTCTCGTAGTAGAGACCCAGGAACATCTTTTCCGGCTCCAGATGCTTTTGCCGCTCGGCCTTCTCATAAAGAGTGAAGAGGGAAGGATTTCCGACTTTTTGTCAGCTTCGCAAGCGTCAGCGACTTAAAGTAAGCAGGAGAACCCGGGAATCGTATTCCTGCCCTTGCACAGTTTTGAATTTTTGACATGCAATACTCTTTAGTGTGAAACATTACGCCGCCGTTCCCTTAGTTTTGGCTTTTTTTGGGGTTCAGTTTCAAGCAGAAGAATTCATTGAGCTTCATTGTCTACTTCTGTCAACATCCTTCAGTTTTCTTGAAAATGTTCAGGTGAATGAGAAAATGCAGGAAGCGTTGTGTGCAAAGGAGAAGTGGGCGATACTGTCTGCCGAACAGCAAGATAAGTTTTACGAGTTAAAAGAAGAGCTGGCTGATCGTATTTCTGCACAGGGAGGCAAATTTCAAGAGTTTTTAGAGGTTTTGTTTTTTCATCGGATACACAGTGGAGCTTAATGCGCTTTATATATTATGAAACTTTGGCCGTTGTTTACAGGATATCAAGAAAATCTCTGCAAATTTGTGGTGGTATGAGTATGACAATTCAAAAACAATGGAAATGCTTGATAAGGTTCTTTTTTATTTCATTTAATTAAGCGCGAACTGCTCAGCACCTCAGTCATGGAGCAATCGTTTTTTCACAGCATCACAAATAACCTAATTCAGCGGAACGATTTTGTTTTAGGAGGATAAGAACATGCTGCAAAATTCCATCGACAAGTTGGAAACGAAGATTACACTGATGCACACACAATTGGTGGAAAAAATAAAGAGTTTCGAAGAAAGAATGCGTAAAACGCTGGAAAAACTGCCGGAGGTAGAACGAAATTGTGATAATGTAGCAGTAAGCTTTGAAAGCGCCGTGAAGGATTTGGTAGCCTTCAACAACGCTTACAAGAA